TCCGTTACCTCCTCCTGGTACTGATGCCACTAATCTCCAGGTGAATATTGTTTACTTCCTTTCACTAATCATGCTTAAGGTCAGCCTGTTAGCAGGAGCAAATTTGCAGCAGTGTTAACTAGCAGAGGATAGAGACCATGACTGTGGAAACATTACAGTGATTTTTTTTTTTTTAAAGCCCAAGCATTACAGTGTACAATTGCAATAAAAAATTGCACAAATACAGCAGTGTACAATTGTGCAAAATGGTAGCAGAGAACGATTCTGTTCATGTAGTTTATTCAAGATTGAAGCAGTTTATTAAGAACATGTAATTAGCTGGCAATCACTCAGCTATATCTTTAGAAGGAAAATTGGTAATTTAACAAGTAAATCACAAAATGTGACACTTCAAAAACATTAAGCATCTGCAGCTTCTGAAAGCAGTCTCTGTTTCTAAACACCCTTCTTTTATCCTGGAAAGTTCTGATCTCTTTTTCTGTGACATGCATCCCTCTCCACCCTATAACCCCAATGCATGGTTACAAGCGTAAGCCCTCTCCTTGCACACACCTCCTGTGGGAGCTGGGATTGCTCCAGCTTTATGTGAGCATTTACTGTTTCCCTGTAACCTGCTGGTGAGGCAGCTGAGGTGTGGGTCCCTCCTTGTTGCACCCTGCACACTCAGTCCTCTGGCTGGTTGCAGGCTGAGCTCCTTACAGCATCTGGTGGAGACACAGGTCTAGACTACTGCTGTTTCCACTCCAAGGTGTTTTCCTCTTGTTAAAAATTTCACGCTTCTTTTATACTTCTGTTGATTCCTTTTCTGTTTCAGAGGTGCCTTGGAACTTCTCCAGTGACTCTTTAATCCAGGTGATGATTGCATTCCTCTTCAACCATCAGCTGGTGGTTGATAACCATCTTCCCTTTCGACTTGATCAATTTTGGGCAGATGCCCTCCAGATAAACTAGTCTTTGGCACACGCGCGCGCACACACAGAGTGGACACTTGCATTCTGACCTTACCAGGTATTGTTATCCAGCCCATTTGTCAGGGGTTGACTATAGAAGCAACCCCAGAATAAGTTCTCCCAGCCCGTTATAGTCCACAAGATCCTTGTATTGGTCCTTGAGAAACCATGCTTATGGTATGGGGGCTCCAGGAACACCTATCCTTGTGTGTTGACTTAGACTGGAGAAGGATGTTTGCCTCCAGAACTGTGGATTTTTCAGGTAGTGGGGATCTTCAGTGCTGTGATCCTCTGCTGCTGGTCTTGCCCCACAGCTGGTGAGCTATCTTTTTATAGCCTTTAATTTCTGCAACCTGTTGCCTTCTGCATTTGCTTACTCCATTTGAACTGGTTGTCCATGTTCCCTGGTGAATCATAGAAACCGATTGACAGGTGAGTAGGTTACCTGGTGACCATGATGCAGGTATCTTAGCTGCTCTCTTCTTGCATTTACCATTTAATCAAAATGCTAAATACATTCAAGCTAAATTAGCAGATTGGTTACTGCCGAGCTGCTCTCTGCAGAAATGGTAAATGTTTGCTTGGGGTTGGCCATTCAGGTACTGCCCAGTCTCAGCACAGTAGTTGCCACACCATGGTTCTGGGACTTCCTGCTGTGTTAATGTTAACTTTCTCTTCCAGAAATGTGTAGGACAAGGGAAGTAACCCCTTTACTCCATGTCCTCTTGACTGGTGACAGAGAACTGGTTTGGGTGTGCTTTCTATACCCTCTAGGAGTCAGCTGTTACTGTGATCTTGGTTTGCTTCTCATGAGTAACACAACATTGCTGAGTCTTATACTCTCCCTTGTTTAGGTTTTTTTCTGGCTCCAGTGTGCAGGTGTACAGACTTTAACGTTAAGTTACAGTGTTCAGTGAATGAAGCATTAAATCTTTGCTGGAATGTCTTGCCCAATCCAATAGATCAAAAGCCTGTAACAGTTTATTCTGTGCTTTAGGCTTTGTTTTCTTCTGTATGTATTTTGCTAGAGGAGGGCCTCAGAAGAAGTAATCAATAACAAACATTGCCAATAAAAACTGAGGACTTTCCCATCAGAAGTGAATGTAGATGTTTTGTGTAGATTAAGGCTGTCAGAAAAATGAAGGAAACGTAGCCTTCCACTGTTTGGTTGTATTGTTTCTTTTGCCCTAGAAGAAACCTGTAATGGTTGAACTTACTGGTCTTTATCTAGATGGCCCAAATTCCCCTCAAATCGCTCTGTGAGGCGTCTCCACAGAGTGATTCAGTGACACCACATAAGGCAGAGGCCAGAGGCATGGCTAAAACTGTCTGGTCGAGAAGTCCAGGTGTAGGCGTTTTACCTGCATGATAGAAGTGTTGAAGAGCTGTGCTGTTCCTCCAGTGTTCGGTGGGGGGGTGTCTCTCCGTTCCGCTTCTGTGCACTGTCAGTGAAACATTGGGAGTTGCCTGTGTAGTAGTTGCTGATGATTTCTGAGGCTTGTGGTCAAGGTGAGAAAGTAGCAGGTGACCGAGTGAAGCCGGCGTGTGTGAGCAATAGTCTTCTCCTTGTCTTTCAGAGTCTTGTACTGATACTTCTTCCTAAGACAAGTGTGTAATAGACTAGAAGATGATTCGTGTCGAGTGCACGTATTGTGCAACTGTGGAAACTAGCATAACTGGAAATAACAAAACCACATAAGGCATGGAACAATAGACAGGATATCTGTGGGTTTGAGATTGGGCTAACATATGCTGCTTATGCAAGACAGAGTCAAGTGCAGTTTGAGACTGGGCTAACTATATCGCTTATGCAAGACAAAAACCAAGTGCGCACGCGCTTATAGGAAAAGGGCATTTAGAGGACACCGAGGAAGAAGACACATCCCAAAGACCACCAGAGGAACTATAAAGACCACCGACATCATGAGACGCATGCGTCAATAAATGATGCCACGTAAGCACAGAGAATCGAAAGAGGGAGGAGACTTCGCGGAAACAAACAGCTCGGAGAGAATATAAAGACCGCCGGTGCCATTAGAAGGTGTGCGTGTTGGTGGAGCAGCGACTCCCCGCGCACCCAGTGCTGTTTGCTTGCTTTTTATTGCCTTAAGTTTAATAAAGAGATAATGCAAATGGCATATTGTCATTCATAACAAGTGCTTTCTGCCAGATGTCGCTTTTTAAAGCAGCATGGTTTGTGGTATTAAGGTTATACAAAATTTTAAGGTTGTGATAACAGCTGCAAACTTAGTTTTCTTAATCCAGCTAATAATGGTGATGAACTAAGGTTATACACATTTTTATGTTCTTGGCGTTGACAAAAATTGGGTTTTACTCTTGGAGAAGTTGTGTGTTGCATGTAGCCAAAGTTTCTCCTCTGTTTAGCAAGGATTTTGCAATTACTGCTAGTTGGCATCTTAGTCTTGTTTACATATCTCAGTCATGAGAGCATCATTATGTTTCTGGAATGTATAAACGTCTTAAATTTCTTCAGCAATTATCTAATTCAAGGGCTTGATTATTTTATCTCCTGATTATTTTTCAGGAAATACTCAGTGTAACATTAGCAGACTGAAATCTTCAGCTTGGATGCAAAAGCCTGTTTTCTTATCTAATATTCCTGCATCACTGTAAGTATTGCCTTAATGCTGCTCTTGATGTTTATTACGAATTTCATATGTGACTTTGTTTTCCTGTTTTCTTTTGTTATCGGTGTCCTTTAAGAGCAGATAAGGTAAAAGAGAGAGTGAAGGAAGATAGAGGTATATTTGAATCTTGACAATAACACTGGAAAATTAAAACTTTGTGGCTCTTATAGGCTAGGTCTGAGTGATGATTCCAGTTCCTAAGGTTGAAATCAGGAGAGTCTTAAAGTCGAAAAGAGCCCGTGAAAGAAAGTCAAGAACCTTGGGTGATCTGGGAGAAATGACCTGAAACATTCTGTTGAGAAACTGTCTACCACTCTGCACAAAGCGAGGTGTTTGTCCCGTCCTAGGTGGGTTTGGCCATGCTGAGAGGAACTTACCAAGATGCAAACAGCATTCATGCTTGTAGGTTGTCATGGGGTTTTTGCACGTTTCGGTTTTTGAAGACTGGAATAGTCTTTGGCTTTGAAGATGTTGTCTCTAACAACTTTCCAGAGGTCATTCAGAAGTAACATGCTCACCCAGTTGGGCTTGTTAGTAATAAATACAAATTCCGGAGTATAACACATGAAGAGTTAGAAATTTGTGACTTTCTCACCTCCTGGAGGTGTGCTTGCTGCGACAGCAGAGGTGATGCTGTCATCTCCATGCTGCATGCCTTCTGCTGGCTGAGTGAGTTAACACTACCAGACAGAATTAGGGGTGGTTTGCTTGTAGCTAGATGTGCTGTTAACTAGAGTCACGGGCTCGAGGTTCTAAAAAATCAGTAACTGCCCACAGTGTCAGGGAAGAGCAAAAGACATGTAAAAGAAAAACAAGTGGGCCACATTATTATGAGATATCTTTACTGAACTCAAATTCGTTTTTTTCCTTTCTTTTGTTGTATTTGGAGGTATAATTGAAATTGAGTCGTCTTTTCTGAAAACTCTGACCTGTATTATATTCTGTAGGTGCTTCTTATGCTCAGCTCTTAAGCATTGCCTATTGTATCATGTTATACAATACATTGGATTTTTTCCATCATTTTTGGATGAAAAGGTAAATACAGTGATCTATTATTAAATTAAAAAGTTGAATGATAATAGAATTAGCAGAATAATGTGAGGATTTTGTTATTCATTAGACAGTCAATAGAATTGTTAGTTGCTGCTCTGTCTTTTTGTACCTTAACTGTGGTCTGGGAAATAATTTATGCACCTTGACATTGACAACATTGATGTCCACGGGATGTGCCAGTAGAGCTGCTCCTCTGCCTAGCAATTTGAATTCAACGGTTCTGTTCATAATGCATTCTAAATCACTTCTTGTTAAGTGAAATAGGTTTTGATAGAAAGATTAAGGTTTGATTATTACTTGTTTTTTAGCATTTTGGGTTTTGGCTGAGGAAAAAAAAAATCAAGAAAAGATGGACTGGAATGTAAGACCACTCCAGAACACTCATGCAAAAAAGAACCTGCAAAGTGAAGATGCATGTTACACTCAGTTGCTTTCTGATGCACCTACTTTTCCTCAGACAAGTGCCTATTCCTCTACAAATGCGTGCACTTATGCTGGAAATAGCCAAATGATGTATCTGCCAACAAGCAATATTGCCTTTGCTTTTGGAAATGCTGAAGGATTCAAATCTTCAGATCAGGCCTTACCAGGATCATCTGTAGCTGGTAATAATTTTTTTATCTCAAAATTCTCAGTAGAGCGATGTCCACCATCTTACGTACCAGTAGCTCCAAAACCTCCCAATCAGACATCACGTTTACAGGCAGAGATGACTCAGACTTCTTGGCCAACCTCTAATGCCTATGTTTATCACCTTAGCAAATTACCTCCCCCGTCATCTCAAGTGAACACTGGAAATAACCTGAGAAATGTACTTCGGGAACCTCAGTATGTCACCACAAACAGTTACACTGTGCGGCCACAAATACCGCAGCATAATTCTATGAGAACGACAATGTTATATCAAAGTAACGTGCATTCCCAGTATAATTCTGTATCTCTTGGTACATCCGGGCAACATGTCCAAAACCAAATATATCATCCCAACACTCAGTTTAATGTTTTACACTCATCGAATCAAAATACTGAAGCAAATGTACAGCTGCTACAGTATCAACCGAGTCAGATGGGATCAGAAGCTCCTAGCAGATGTTCTGCACCATCTTTGTTGCCTGCCAATTGCGATTCAAGACCTGCAGCACAATCTTCCATGGGTGTACCGCAGGCAGTGCAAAATGTGCCTAATGGATACACCCTTAGCCAGCAGATGCTCCCATCAGAGCCGAAAAATGCTGCTGGTTTTAACAGTGTTCAGCAACACTGTCAGAAACAGCAATCTGGAGAAGTCAGTCAATCGGTTAGGAATGTCTGTAATTCCAGTGGAAACGTGACAGCAAATCAGCCTTTTAGTGAAATGTCTGTGCCGTCCCCTGCCATTTCCAAAGAACTGTATGATATTGTGCAAGAAATGGAAGCTCTTTCTTCGGTGCCTGCTTCAAAACCACTGAGTAATCCTGCTTCAGTTCAAGAAAGCCAGACTAGTAGTTTAATGAATGGGGCTGTTAATTCTCAAATTTCATCAGCAGCAGCAAATGAAAGAACAATTACGAAGGACAGAATAGCTTGGGAAGCTGAAAGGCTGCTCACTATTAAAAAAAAATGCGTCCTGCTTGAAAGGATGCATCGTTATAGAAGAAAACTCTTAGCAGCTGCAGAACGTGACAAAAGTACTCACCCACTTCCTCCAAGTCATCAAAGTACTCTTGCTAATTGTCTTCCATGGGGGCCCAACCAAAATGTACCACCTTTCCCATCTGAAACAGCGAGGACAGAGACTCCAATACTTAACTCTTCACTCGAAGAAGGAAACGACAAAAATGTCGGCAATGCTGGCAACGGAGGATTAGAGGTGACTCAAAGTAACCCTCAGGTGGAGCAGGGAAGCCTTTCATCAAGCTCTGCTCCTGTTCCCTCTCAGAGCAAACTCCCAGCTCAGTTAAATAATCCTCAGAGCACTGCCCTCTCGGAACAAAGGGATGCATATGCCTTGGCCTCTTCTGAAAAACCTGCGACGTCCTCGAGCAGTGCTTCATGTTTTAGTCAAGTGGAGAGCTCTATCAAAAATGCCTCAAAGAATGTGCCAGCTAACCCCAAGAGCTCATCATTTCTTCAGTTTGTATTGAGCAGCACAAATATATTGAAGGAGAAGACAGCTGGTGCTACCGCTGATAAAATACTGACTAGTCTCCTGTGTGCTGAAAAACCACTGGTAGATACATCCGTCTCGGGTAGAAGCTTACTAAAAGACACTTGTGAGAAGAGCGCGGAAAGTCTGAAAGGTGAGCAGGCATCTATGGTTCACACAAACTCTCCTGTATCAGAAACAACTGAATCTGGTGAAGCTAAATTCCAGAGTGGTGTAGCTCAGAAGAAAATGCCATTTATTGAAAATACGTCTTTAAAACAGAGCACTTACAGTTACTCTGTGGAAGAGCTAGCTGCATGCCTGGGCTTGTGGAGGAAACATCCGTCGGAATCTGTAAGTGTGCAAAATATCCAGTCAAATGAAAGCCCCACAGCAAATCAGATTTCAGCGTACAGCCAGAACACAAAAAATAGAGAACAAAATAATGTTCTGGTTAGTACAGATGAAGCAATTTTGCCCGTAACTGCTTCTGTAGGACAAAAACTTGACACGTTGAGTTGCAATTTGTTGAAAAGTTTTGAACTCCAGGTTGCGGTTGTCTCTCCTTTAGTACTTTCTGAACAGAGAACACAGAGTGAGCAGGCAGACAAATGTCCAACACCTGCAGGTAAAACCTATCCAGGGATTGACTCAGGAAGCACGTGTAGCTTGCAAGAAGAGGGGAAAAATGGTTTAAGTGTGGTAAATACTGATAAAGGAACAATCGACGCTGTTCAGTCCTCACCCAGCGATGGAGTTCTGGTACAGAAAGTGGACTCACATATGCAACAGACCAAATTAGCTGATGGAAACAGGACAGTAAAAAACAGTGTGAGTGCAAATGATTCACGTGATAAAAACCAAGGGAAAGCCAGTCAATCTGCACAAGATGGCAGAGAAAATCTGCAGCTTGGATTACAAAACAAGTCTTCTCTTCCTGAATTGGGCATAAATTCTTCCAGTCAAATCAATAAAGACAAGCAAGGTACATTAGAGACTGGACATATATCCACAGCTGTGTTGAAAGAACAGATGTTTTCTATTTCTAGTGTATGTACTCTTGTTGAAGGTAATACATTCTATAATCCGCAAATAGCAAGTATCTTCAAGTCAGTCCCTGAGACACGTGCGTTAAATGGTACCTCACCAGAAGGAAATGTGTCTGACCCAAGGCAAAAGGAGCAATGGCGAGACTTGCATAAAAACGAGCTGAGCAAGAACACTCCCCAAAGAGAGAGCTTGCTGCAAGAGGTGTTGGAGGAATCATCAAGCTGCACAAGTAAAGCAGGTGAGATTTTGGATGGTACCACAACTAGTCATTCAGGGAAAGAAAGCAGTGGCAATCCTCTTAAAACAATTTCTACCTCAGACCAAAAAATGTCATTTAATGCATCTTTCAAGCGCCCTGAAAATGACTTAGAAATTCTTGCTAGTATAAACCAGGAGTTAGCTCAAAATTCGCTAGATTTCTCGATCAGCATAACTGCTGAAACAAATGCGCTCACTGTTCCAAGAGACAACAGTAAACAAAACTACATGTCTGGTAAAAACAGCACAGACAAAGAGGTGAACCTTTTTGGAGCAGAACCTATTAAATATCTAAACAGTCAGCTGTCTGAACTAGTGAAAGAGTTTCCATATGGCATTGAAGGTGCTGGTTTGCTAACAAAAGAACCAGTACAAAATTCTTCTGTGGGTGAGCGGAAGGAGAATCAACCTCCAAAAGAGGCTCCAATTTGTGACAAGAATTCTTGTTTGAAGGACCCAGTAGACCAGATAAAAATTGCAATGTTAAGCTCGGATCAAATGCAAGAACTGTTTCCTGAACGCAACCGGTGTGCCGCTAGTGACAGCAAGACAGTAGCCAGTCAACAGTCAGAAGCGGCTTCAGCTGAGAAGGAGAACCTCGAAGGCAGCGTTCAGCCTAGTCAGAGTTTGTGTGAGAAGACAGAAACCCCCCAAGACCCCTCCAACCCCAGGAAAGAAAAAAAAGATGATTGTTCTTTAATGGATTTGCTGTCTGTAGCATGCAAAATGCCGCAGTGCCCCTCTAACTTTGGAACGTCTGGTTCGGAGAAAAATGACGATCAGCTTTCAAAAGCTGTATGTGCTAGCCCTGCAGAGAGGCAAGAAAACAGCAGTAAATCTGACATCGGAATGAAGAACGACTGTGCAGCGGGAAACCTGCCAGTTTCCGAAAAAATCCCAAAGAGTGTTAGCAAAAATAAAACAGACGTTTGCAAATACACCTCTGTAACGAACAAAAAAGCTAAGCTAAAGGTGAATAATGAATGCAAACCACTTGCAACACAACAGGAAAAAACTGGACCACTGAATTCCCCTGAAGACCAGGATGTTGATCAATCGAAAAGGAGCAGCTGGAAGGAAGAGCTGCAGATTGACAGAGGAACCCCGCTGGCAGGCAAAGAGTTGAATTCTGACAAAAAAGAACATCAGGCAGTCTCGGAAGGCTTGTCAGAGAAAACTGGTCATACGGACGCAGACAATATGACCAAGTCATCCAAAAAGAAAGAGGGAGTTTTCAAAACGCAGCCCCTTTCAAAAGAGAAAGCCAAAACAGGTTTGGCCATGAAATCCAAAACAGATGTTGATAAATGTACAAAGTCAGAAACTGTTGAAATTAAGCATGCTGAAGTCAACGAAGGACACAAAATTAACACCTGTGAAGAGAAAGCTGAAGAATGGAACTGGAGGAAGCAAAAGGAGATACTTGGGCAAAATGTAGGAATTCACATCAAAGAGAAAACCAAATTATCAGCAGAGAGAAAACTTAAAAAGCTGAACAGTTATCGTGCTGATGCTGTAAAGTTCCCAAATTTTGGCAGTGTAGACTTTAAGTCGAGAAACCACAAATATTCCCAGCATAGCTCTATGAAAGTTCATCCTTTGCAGGAGCAGTCATACAAACGGAAAAGGAAGGAAAATATGATTGGGAAGAGAGACCCAAAGAAAGCAAAGGTGGAAGAGGAAAGAACGCAACAATCTGAAGCAAGGAGTTCCAAGCAGCTTTCACAGAATTGCATGAGAAATGCTGACAAAGCTAAAACGCTGAATGGAGAAAATGGCTGGAAACCGAAGAGTTCGTTAGCGGATCGCTCGGTGCTTAAACGACAGAGAAAAAGGGCTCGATCTTCTACCATCTCTAAAAACTGCTTTCCTAACAAAGAGAGACACTTGGACGGTCAGAACAAAGACAAGTGCTCTGAGAAAATGTTTCCTGATAAAAACCTGCTGTACTTAAATAGAAGAAATAACAGATTAAAATTGCATCTTCAAAAGGAGCCGAAAAAACACTACCTGAACAGAGTTGCATTTAAACGTATGGCACAGGAGCGCATATATCTGACAAAATTAGAGACGTCACCTGTCAGACCTGTCTGGCATACAAAGTCCAAGTCGTCCCAGAAGAGCCCAGATGCAAAAAGAGATGCTTCTGTCTCAGAGGTTGAGAAATCCTGTAAAGTGGAAGTACTGGAATTTAAGCTGTGTCCAGAGATACTGTTCAGAAATCCAGCCACTGATGAAGAAAGCTTAGCTGCAAAGAATTCCCTGGGAAGAGAGAAAGCCGTTGTGGCAGGTATGATGCTGTTTGATTATTAATTTGTAAGTAAATTAATTTTGCGAGTATGTACTCCTCTTTAAATTCATGTTACACAACACTACAGACAGCAGAAATGTGGGACTCCAGAAGCTGAAGGCTGAAATAGCTTAGCTAGCTTTCTGACAGGCTCTAGCTGTGTGGTGTGCTGAAAAAGAACACAAAGACTTTTCCTTCAATTTGCTGTTATATTCTTTTTCCTGAAGTTTTACAGACTGAAGTTAGTTTAGAGCATGGCAGATTCAGGTAACTTCATGAGAAGGCTTTCTAACCTACTTGGCTCGTTCACAGAAAGCAGATTCCCTTGGCGTAGTTGCCAAAGGTGATCTGCGTCCTGCGTTCACGTGGTCGGGTGTAAATCTGGCGGGGTGGACAGCAGGAGAGATCTTTCGCAGCGTTGAGGAAGAGAGAGGGCTCGGGCCAGGCATATCCTGCACCCGGTCTCCATGCAGGATCCAAACACTCCTTTGCTGGGTTTGCTTTAAGCTGTTTTTTTTCCTCCTCTTCTTCCCTGTTCCCAATCTTTGGGCATTTTACATGGTGCATTGTGAAGCATGTTTTTGTCAAAGGCTGTATTTGATTTTAAATAAAAAGTGGTCTTAAGTTGTGCATACCACCCCTTGCAGTTGTTTTTTACACCCAAAGGAAATTTCCTTTTACGTGTACTAGTAATATATGTGTTTAAAAGTTGATGCTGAATAGAGACGAAAACTTGTGATATAGGAACCTCAAAAACATTTTTTAAATTTTCTCTTTAGGTGTCAAGAGTAAAAAAGAAGATTGGTTAAAATTTGGTCCTGTGAAGCAGAAAAAACTGGAAGAGATCTCTACAGGTGAAATAACCTCTGATTATCCCTTTTGAGCTATGAGTTAAATACTCTTCACTTGGTTTGAAGTGTTCCTTTACAGTAGCAAATCTTAATAAAGTATTTTAACTTATTCTTTACTAGCGCTGCTGCTGAAATGGATACTGTGGAGTAAACATATGAGTTTTAAAGATTCGTGGAGATTTTTTTTGCTATAAGAATATGTTGTTGGAGATGGGTGGAATTTTCCTGCATACATGTGTGCAGTTGAATCAGAGGCAGCACTGGTGACAAGATTCAAGTGCAGTTTTAAACCAGAGGTAAAGACCAAGCTAGCTTTTTCCCACTTTAAAAAGTAGGAAGTGACATAACAGAGTCTAGTGTGAGACTAAAAAAACAAAGTGAGTTTTTAATTTTATTTGGCTTTCACAGTAAGTTGGTGCTTTCTGTGCTCACAAGCAGCAGGACCTGTGTCCCCCGGTAGTCTGGACGGGATTGCTGGTATGGCACACAGAGGAGAAGTGGTGCCACTAGTACATCTGCCTTGTTTCTCTTGGTTGGCAAATTACTTTTTGAATAGTCTTTTGTACCGTTTAGGAGTCAACAGTTACAACAGTGGCATCTTTCATCTCAGGATCTTGGTTGTTCCATCCTTAAACACCGGGCGAGGTTGCTTCCTGCTGTCTTTCCTTCCTTGCTTTGGGTATCGTTCTAGCTATAGCCTTGTTTTCCTACTGATCTAACCTCACGTGAAATGGTGCGTTCAGCATGCCGTCACCTCATCGCCGTCCTCTGCTGACAAGTTGTCTATGGTGTGGTCTTCATGCAAGCAACACGGTTTGCAGTGGTTACGTCTTTATTGCTGTTGAATGTGTCCTTGACTACTGGTGCCTGCCATTCTTCAGCCGTTCCCCTTGTTTCTCCTCTTTCACAAATGCACATTTTCATTCCCATGACACCCAAATGACCTCTTGGTGCTTACAGATGCATTGGAGATTGATTGAAATGTGAGGCGCCCGGTGCTGGAGGAAGGAAGCTTGTGGCATCCTTTTTGGCAGTGGTGGCCTGAAGTACCACATGCGTAAGAAGTGGAGTCATTTGAGACTCGTGGACTTTTGCTTTAACCTGCTTCTCTGTCTGTCTTTCAGCTGAGGACAGTATTCCGCTTGATACAGCTATACAGATCCTGGATGGAGAGGGTGAGGCTCTGCACATTCCAATCAAAGACTCAAAAGGGATGTTTCAGACTTACAGGAAAATGTATCTGGAAAAAAAGATGCAAAAGCCTTGAGAGCACTCCTGTATCAGATCTGACTCAGTATCACTGGGGAAAACCATGCCAACGCTAAAGCGCTTTTTCCTGTTTACTTCGTACTTCTGAATAATTCTTAAAGAAAAAAAAAAAGTATTTTTGGGGTGTTGGCAATTTTTCCCCCTATTTGCCTCATTTCTGAATGATTGAGATCTTATTCTGTATTTATTGCACGAATACGCTGTGGTGCTGAAAATGCCATAGTCAAATGTATGGTTTCTTTTGGGCATATTTGAATCTTTTGTTTTTTAAAGATACAGGAGTTAGTTGAATTTTGACTAAAAAAACCTCAAACTCATTTAAATTGTCGTAGTCCTGTTTTTTTTTTCCTGATTCTGGGAAACTTCTACTTGTGGTACTTTCCATTGCTGGCAGTGGAAAAATATTCCCACTGGCAAGGGATTGCAGTGGATTCTCAAGCATTACACCTTTATTTTTGACTTATCCCGGTCGGATTGTTGTGCTTCTAATAAGGCTTTCTGTTTTCGTAGAAACTTTTTTGTTTTTTGGAAGCTGGGAATACAAATTTGAAATCCTCAGATTAAACATACGGATCAGGGGACGCCATGAAGGATTTATGCTGCTACCCAGTTTTCTTACTTTTCTTTTTGTGGAACTTGTACAATTTGAGCTCTGAGTTCTTCATCCGAACGCGATGCTGTAAACTGATAGTTGCCTGAAGACTTCTCTTGGGTGGTTTTTTTTTTCCTCTCTCTCTGCTTTCTTTACACTTGAAAGAAAAGTGCGATTGTAGAAGTGCAGGGAGTTTGAATTCACTCTTGTCCAGACTGTGTTGCTCACTTTAACCAGACTGTAATTAATTTTGTTGTCTATAAAGCATTAGATAATGTTTGTCTACACATTCACTGTGACATAAGTTATATTTGTTGCTGGATATCTTTCGTTTCAGTGCCTTTTCATTATCGTTCAGAATTTTCAATTGAATTGTATTTTTTCAGCAAGTTAGTACTTGATTCTTTCTGTTTCAACATTTATACTGAAAGTAAGAACTGTAGATATTTCATAGAGCAATTTTTATACTTGAAATAAACTTTTGAAGGCTATGCCTTATCTTTTTTTATAGTTTAAAAGTGTAAAGTTGTGTTTATTGCAGCTAGTTACATAGGCATTGGAGATATTTCTGTAGATGAAAAGCAGCTTTAACACAAATGCCAGCTCTTCCTCCTTAAAAGGTTTCGTAGTTGCAAATGAGAACTCCTAACAGCATGTACTTATACTTCAGAAAACACATCAGAAGTGTTTTTCTCTTTAGCGTGAGGTTGGCGTGAGTACTTGAAAAGCCTTCAGTCCTGCTCCGTTCCTGAAGATGCATGCTTGTAGGCATCTTGGATGTAAGTACTCAGCGGAGCATAGCATTATAATTTCCTAGCTTTATCTGTATGCTGAATTAAAAATTGGCTTTTCTGGGAGAAAGAAGTCCTCCCCTTCCATCATGTGTACATTTCTTCTCTCAAACTAGGAAACTATTTGGACTCCCTTCCTGTCTGGCACAGCTGTCCGAATAACTTAAATAGTTTTTTTTTTTTTCCTGGCTAGATGCCCAACTATTAGTCTGTGCAAAATGTTGCCACTGGTGAATTTTGTGATAATGTTGGCAACTCTGAGAAGTTTTTATCTTGCATTTTCTTGGGAGTTTAGGACCTATATCATACCTCCTGCATAGCCTTAAGTGTACCTGGTACAAACAACGCATAGCTCCTGTCAAGAGTTTACTTGGTGTTTGTTCTGCATAATGATACATGAAGCAGATTCAAATACCTGAGTGAATTCTTTTCAATAGGAAATTATTCCAGGCATTGACCCATGACAGTTATATTCTAAATATTTGGAGGAGTTTGCTCGCTGACCCTGTGTACCCAGTAAGTGAGAATGCCAGTTTTGAGTCCTGGTGGACATGGCTACATCTTCCTCTCTTGTATCAAGGAGTGAATCTTGGCTCTGTGGCCATGTTTACACACGTTTACGACTTGTGCCTACGCTGCTTTGGTACGGTGAGGATCTTTGGGATAGACTGGCCGTGTCCTTTCTGCTTGGTTCACATGCTGGTTCAGTAGCTGTCCTGCAAGCCTGGCTGTGCCAGATGCTCATATTCACTTGCCATTTCTCTTGGTCCTTGTGGTGCTGACTGAAGCCACGATACTCCAGCAAGCCCTTGGCTTTGAACAGGAAAGACGCTGATGTACACCTAAACGTGACTACTGTGAAAAAACTAGTGGCATGTTGCTTGAAGTGAAGTGACAAATGTGAGCGTGAGGGCTTTCACTAGCACTGAAGGTACCCATCATGGATGTAATGTGTGCCTGTTGTCTTGTCTGTTGGCTGTCCTTGAAGGGACTTGTAATATGAATGTCACCGGTAGGGTTGCTTTGTACAAACCGTGGATCCTGTCATGGCTTGGAGAGCACTAATAGGTCTTAACGTTCCTGATCATCCATATGTTGGACATCCACCCACACCCCCTGTTCTTGGGCTCAGGAATTCCACTGAAGACCAAGTTCCTGCCTGAGCCATGTTCAAGGTCTACCTGTCTCTCACTCCGTTACAGTCATGCCTGTGTGTGGGCATGGCAATTGCCAACTGAACCAGACCCTGACCCAGGGACAGTCTTCCTGCATGGACTCAGAGGTATGTTATTACTATGAAGCTGCCTGTCAATCATGACTATGTCTGACTGGTTACAATCACTGGATCTGATCCTGGCCAGACACCAGACACTCGTTGACTCCACACCTCACCCCCAGCAGGGTAAAGAGGAGAACAGGAGGAAAAAAAGCAAGAAAACTCATGGGTTGAGATGAAGACAGTTTAATAAGCGAAGAAAAGCGGAAAAAACCCAATTGATGCAAAGGCAATCACTCACCACCTCCTACCAGCAAACGGGTGACCAGCCGGTCTCCAAGCAATGGCTACAGAAAGACTGTCCTCCAGTCTTACTGCTGAGCATGGCATCCTATGGGATGGAGTATCCCTCTGGTGAGCTGGGGTCACCTGTGCTGGCTGTGTCCCCTCCCAGCCTCTGGCTTGCCCCCACCCACTCGCTGTGGGCTCAGAGTGGGAACCAGAGAAAGCCCTGAGGCTGTGCAACCACCAACACACTGCTGTGTTGGCAGCGTTGTTTTAGTCACAAATCTAAAACCGGGCACCGTATGAAGAAAATGAACTCCAGCCAGGCACAGTACGTAGTCAAAGGTTGAAGTTTTCAGTCCAAAGCTATGACACTTCTCATGGGAAGGCGGAAGATCCATGCGGCTCTCTGCAAGCACCTCAGCCCCACAGCTGAGGCTTTGTGAGGAGGACACCTTCTTACCGTTCAGGCTGGATGATGGACACCGGTGTCTGCTGAAGCTCAAACGAACGCAGGCCTTGCAGCCTTCGATGTTGAAGGTAAAATTCACCTCCGTGTTTTCATTTAACGAACACCAGGAAGAGAAAGATTCCTACCTTTACGTTTCTGTTATGGCGTGAAGTAAAAGACATTCAGACAGGGTAGCGGTGGGCTTTGCCAAGGTATCTGTTTGCTGTCATGCTGCTTTCTATGGCTGTGTGCACAAGCGTTTTGCAGTACTGATCAGTTCATATCGCTCCTGTTTCTCCGTGCAGTGCTCACTGATGGCTGTCACTGCTTTAATCCTATAAAACTGGTTTAGGTTATTCATAACGTTATTTCAGTCTTAAAACGGCGGAGGTGCCTCAGTATAAAGTGATGGAGGTTTCCTGCTTCTGTTTCAGTTTTACATTGCTATGGCAACCAATCATTCAAGGGCCTGGGAAGCAAAGCTGTGTCTGACAGTGTCAGGACTGTAAAACTGAGCCTGCACCGTGGTGCACCTCAAACCCCGCCACGGTCCCCGGGGACTATCCTCTTTCTTCCAGTCATCAGTGCTATTAAAAAAGTCATAAATAGCATTCTGTTTAAAAATAAAATTAAAAATTAAGTCCTTCTGCTGTATCAACAATACAATAGACAATATATAACAATACAATGTTCAGTAGACTATGAAAGCCAGAAACTATAATCTTTGGAACAAAATAATCCTGCAGTAAATCACCGCAGAAGATGCTCTTCAGAACAAAATGTGGAAATATAGCTAATAAGGAGTAAAAGAAGTACTGTGTGTGTTAATTGGCTCATAGTACCTTTCCCTTACACCCCATTAGGTATTTTTCAGAAAGAAATTAGCCTGCTGCTGTGCTCTCGCCCAGTGACTTTGGACTCTGTTGACTGATATCAAGCAAAAACCGCAGAAGATAACGTTGATGGCTGGTTTGAGATGAGAAAAATGATGAGTCCTTCCCTCCCCCAACTCTGCGGTAAGGGCAAGGGAAACTGAGCCCTCAGGTTAGCTTAGCCCACAAATTAGCATACGTGTGGTTGCCCGCTAGCCCCAGGAGATGCTGACTTGTACCCTACCAGGAAACGGTGTGGGATGAAGTTAGGGCGCTGTGTTTGGGCCAGGGAAAATATGGGTCTGAGGGCGGCACACTGTAGGGAGGCTACTGATGGCAGCAGTGGGGGAGCATCTCTTGGGAGATGTTGGAAGCACTTTGTTAATCTCACTTCTTGGAATATTTCACAGAATCACAGAATCACAGCATGGTTGGGGTTGGAAGGGACCTCTGTGGGTCACCCAGTCCAACCCCCTGCTGAAGCAGGGTCACCCA